TAAATATTATATTTCTATATTAACCTGATCCATTTTACGGATAATGATATATAAGACAATCTCACGTGTATAAAAGTATTTTTATGCATGTATGCTGGTTACAAAACATTACTCAAAAACACATTATATATCAACTTTGGATAGAGCCCACCATTGACACGATTTATCTTACAACATTTTGGGCCTTGCTAGTATACCCGTTTTTTTTTTTTTTTTTTTTTTTTTAATCAAAATTTTATTTATAATTCTGTATTTATTATTAACACATTTTGTACTTGCAGTGGATAGTTTCTGTACATGTAGCTATCATATTATGTGTCAGCAATTATCAAGTCAGATTCTGTATCTATAGTTGACACATTCGGTACATGCAATTGATAGTTTATGTACCTATAACTATCATATCACGTATAAGCAATTATCAAGTTATTTGTTTACATGTATAGAAACGGTTAACTATAGATACAAAATTTGTTAACTGAAGGTACATAATTTTTGCATCAGAGTTCACAATTCAATATGAACCGTGGTCCATGGTATACCAATTGGTTTATGGCAAATTATTGTGTGGACCGTGATTTACACAGCTGTGTGGACCACGGTAAAAGATGACGTCGTTTTAATGTTTAAAAAAAAAAAATCTTTGCTCTGCGAGCATGTTAGGATAATGAACATTATGGAGTAATATAATATATTTTATGAGTTAGAATAATATACTTTATGTGTTAAAGTAATATAATTTTTGTGTTAGAATAATGAAATTTCTCGAGTAAGATAATGTATTTTATGAGTTAGAATAATGTACTTTTAAGTGTTAGAATAATATATTTTATGAGTTAAAATAATGTGTAATGTACTTTATGTGTTAGAATAATGAAATTTTTTGGACTAGATAATGTATTTAATGAGTTAAAATAATATATTTTATATGTTAGAATAATATATTATGAATAAAAATAATATATACTTTATGTATTTTTTTAATGGTGGTCCACATAACTATTTGTATCATAATGATTGGTGGGTATATGTTTATTTCTGGAATTTGATAATCATCTGGATTCCGGGCCCACACGGTAATAGTTACGCATTCCGACCCCACACGTCTCCTACAGTCCCACGGCTATCTTCTACACGGAGCTCCCGCGGGAGGTTACTTTCTTAGTTTTCCTAACAACTCTCATATCCAATTATACAAACCATCAATATATATATATATATATAATTTTATTCATAGAAAAAAAAAGTGATATCTATGTTTATATATTACGACGTATTGGACAAAATTTTATTTAGAGTGATAGTATACTCAAATTGAATGCACCGTAACATATAATGAATGCACCGTAACATATCCATGAATGCACCATGAAATTTTATTGAGTGGATTGCAATAATTACAAAAATATCATATCATTTTTTTCTTCTTATTTTTTCGTCTTTGATCAACTTAGATAGACGGTTGATATTATTTCATATTTTTTACAGGATCCCCCCCCCTCCCCCCTCCCCCCTCCCCGAGAGACTCCTATAAGAATACATCTTTGTGTAAAAAATCAATGGTGTTTAAGTCAATTGAAAATACAGAGACAAAAAATTGTAAATATGTTGAGGTCTTAGCATTTGACAAAAAAAAAAAAAAAACAAAATAGCGCTGTTATTTTAAAGGCAAAATTGTATAATAAACTCAGGTAAAAACATAACATTTTTGCATTATATATGAATAAAAGTGCACTATAAAAAATTTAAAAGTATATTATAAAATGGATAAAAGTGCACAATGCAAAAAACGTTACAAAATATTTAAAGTATAATGTAAGAATGTTAATAAACACTATAGAATAGTTAATAGTGCACAATGAGACACTTTTATTGTTGGAGATGTGTATTTTTAAATTCGTAATCATGTACTTTTAACTTTATCATTGGTACATTTTTTGTCATAGTATACTTTTATTATTTATATGGTACACTTTTCATTATTTTATAACACACTTTTAGCATTTAGATCATTACGTCTTTCATTAATTTAATTATTTTCTTCATTATCAAGAACAAATCTTAAAAAGACAACACATGCATCCATTACTACTTGGAGAGTTTAGAATGAAGGATTATTGGAGGCAACATATATGTGTTTCTATACATTGCTATCAACGTAACTTTTGTTAATTATTTTTTTCATGTTTGGACTTTCGTCTTTAGATTTTGAATATTATTCATCTGATAGTGGTTCTTCGATAATGGATTCTATCGTATGCGGCTTTTTGCAACTTTGATGGGAGTTTGGTAGCCAGAAAATTTTAATTTTTTTTAGAAATTTAAAAGGTGAAAAAATTATTTTCATACTTAGTGCAATTTTTAACAACCCCAACGACAATTGCGGAAGTTAGAAGCTTCCTCGGGCTGGCAAGGACTATCGTAGGTTTATAGGAGCCCTTTATGCTGGGAAGAAAATTTATTTTCATATTTAGTGCAATTTTTTCAAGTCGTGGGTGGAGTGTTACAGTTGGTATCAGAGCTTAAGATATCTATGAAAATTTCGGGTCGATGAGAATTACGTCCCATGACATTAATGAAATTAAATCTCACTTAGGAGATGTAGGATTTTTTTTCCCAGGTGGCTAAGAATCGACTAAATTTATTCAATTATGTATTTATCATTTTTGACGTCTATAAATATAAAATATTATTTTTCACAACATTACACATTGTTTATCAAAGAAATTTGCATCTAGGTACGTAATTAAAGTTTTTGGTAATCTAATTTGCAATATGATTCATTACATAACGATACAATGCATGTTTGTGAAAATGAACCAAACATGTTAATTAATTTTCCAAGTAATTTAGTTATTATGTTCCCGGGATAACACGAAATATGTTAATTTATTTTTCCTGTAAAATTATTCCATTAAACATATTCCTTAAAACATTTTGTGAAAATTTAATTGATGTGAAAATATCAAACCACTTCTTCAAATCAATCAAATGATGCATTATTTTCTTGCATTGTTTTCTTTTGTGAATTACCGAAATATAATTAATTTGTATTTCACCAAAGGCCTGCAAACATTAAATGCCCAATATGCACCAACAAAGTTAAAATGACAATTATTCCATTTAAACTACAACCACTAGACCATTATGATGGATGACTGAGATGAGTCTATAATTTGTACATGAGCAACAATTCTCACTTCATCCTTATTAGAAATGAGAATAAATCTAGGTCATCCCTATAAAAATAAAAATAGACGAATGAAATCTATACTTTAATTAAAAAAAAATGTTATACCGAGTAACATTTGTGTAATATATATAACAACGCGTCCATTATTATATTATCTAAGAGAAAATTAACATGATTTTGGAGAAAAATAATATTGCTTTTGTAAAAAACAACAAAGTTTTGAAAAAAAATTAAATATAAAAAGAAAAGGTTACAACGTATGAGAAACAATGACATAGTTTTGGAGAAAAAACAACATTTCTTTAGTGAAAATAATATTGTTTTGGTGAAAACAACTTCATTTTGGAACATTTACACAAGTTTAATTGCAAAAGGTGGGAATCTAACTCCGATTACAAAAGTCCAGCTTACCAATTTTTGGTTGGGAACATGCGGTATTGCATCTTGCAGTTTTAATCTAACTCTGACTCACTATGTATCATGAGTATCCCCCCCTTACAACTAGTACCGTGGCAAAGAATCAAACATTTCTCATATGCATGTTTTTGGGTGTGCAGTCTGCACCCCAATACCACCAACATATCGTACATCCATGGGCTAGCAACGAAAGCTGGGTATTATATTTATGGTTGTTATGAATCTCCCTCTATCATTAAATCTTAGAGTCCATGACAGGGGATCGATTTATTACGAGGTAGTTGGGTCGTACGTTGACTGCATTTTTAATGAAGATCATTTCCCGACATTAGGGAGAGATAATAGTTCATATTTAACAAAATGCCCAGACATTTCATAGAATGAAAAATATATTCAGTATCTAGATCTACGTTCTAGTCAGACTGAAATGGAAGTTTAGAAGATTATTAATTTGCAGAATTTATCAAATAGTCTGCCACAGGGACAGATCCAGAAAATCATCTGAGCGGGGGTGAAGATTAAATGACGTTAGAAATGTCAATGACAAAATATAAAACAACCATAATAAGGTTAAAATACAAAATACATTATAAATTACAATAGAATGTTTTTGATAGATTACATGATAGTTAGCGTCGGAGCTAAAAATTATACCTAAGTGGAGTGAAAATGTGAAAATATTTATGACAAAATATGAAACATAATCAATTAGATAAAATAATTTTAATAACACTATATTCATAAATACTTTTTAATTTTAATTTCTTTTACTTATATCGATTTTTCTAAATTAATTCGAATACAATAAAGTATAATATAAACTTGTATACTACATTAAGTAAATGATTCATAAAAAGTAGACTAAAAGAGCATTTAATTTGTTAATTAAATTATTCATAAAAAGTAAACTAAAAAATATTTAATTTATCATGTGAAGAAAATGCAAGAGATAAAATAAGAAAAATTGTTACCAATGAGATTTGCACCTATAACATAAAGTATTTAACCTCAAATTTAGAATTTAATTAACTAAACTGCTCAAACTATTGACATTTTTAACGTAAATATAGGTTTTATATAATTTTTAGTTCATTTACTAATAAAACATTAGGGACGAAATTTACAATTTTAGTATAACTCATGGACGAAAAGTGAGCACGAAAAGATGAAAAGTGCAACGTTAATGATAATTCAGGGACGAAAAGTGAGTATGACCCGCACCGAACACCACGCGATGTGCGGTACTCTTCCAATCGCTGGACCCTACCTCTGGCTGAGCCGTTTCCAGGGTGGATAGACTGTTAAACAGAAAAGATAACTCTTCCCGAGGGCCCCACTAACGCCTCCGAAATCCCTAACGTTGCTGTCAATCGCCACGTCCCGGTTCAGAAATTTTATCCCGATTCCCTTTCAACGCATGCACAAACGCGCTGTCTGTCGGGCTTCCCCGACCCTAAGCCACATCAGCATTTTTCATTTTTTTTTTTATAATTAAGGCGGTTTGCAAATTTGCTTCTGTAACAAATTTGCAAACCGCTGACAAAAGCTGGCGCGGCAACCGCTGCGACGGCTTTTGTATTATTTAATTTTGTTTTATTGTTTTTTTTTCTTTTTAATATTTTAATATTATTAATAATGTTATTTTAATATGTTGGGCCCACTTTTGAAGGTTGATTGGATTTGCAGGGATGTAGTGTGAATAGTAGATGATTTGCAAATGGGATGATGTGGAAGTGAGATCCATTTTTGAGAGTGGGAGATGTTTGCAGGGATAAGGACAACCTTAGGATCAACTAATCCATGTACACGTGTCATTCATACTTAGAGATAAATTCTACAATTATCCTATAACTTACCGACGAAGCAGACAATTTTTCCTATAACAAATTATGAGTATTTCAAATTAGTTATGCATTTCATTTCCTTCTAGTAGTCTTTGCAAAGAAATTTGTCAAATTTGACACGCCCGTCCGTCTACCCAAACAACCGCCAACGTCCAAATCCCAACTTCTATAATTCTAAATTGTCCAATTGCTTTACCCAATGCCTACGGGCTATTATAAATACACCTAAATATCTACTTTAGCAACCACCAGCACCATCGCTTCTCTTCTTCATTGAATCATTTCATCCCTAAAAATTTCACGAAATTCGCAACAATGGCGTCAAATGGACACCCTAAACCCGCGCCTCTGGAGTGCTCGCAGGACATGAACGAGGTCCAGAAGGTCTTCGATCGGTTCGATTCCAACCACGACGGCAAGATCTCTCCGGAGGAGCTATCCGGCGTCCTGGAGAAGCTCGGATCCGGCGTCTCCCCCAAGGAGGTGTGCGAGATTATGGAGGACATCGACACGAACAAGGACGGCTTCATCAATCTCCAGGAGTTCGCCGGATTCTGCAAGGGCCGCGACGGAGACAGCGCCGACAAGGAGCTCCGCGAGGCCTTCGAGCTCTACGATCAGGACAGGAACGGCTTGATCTCCGCCGCCGAGCTCCACTTGATCCTCACGCGCCTCGGAGAGCAATGCTCCGTCGACGACTGCGCCGGGATGATCAAGTCCTTCGACACCGACGGCGACGGCAACGTCAGCTTTGAGGAGTTCAGGACGATGATGGCCGTCAAGCCCTAACTCATAGTGAGTCAACGCGTTTTCTAAAGGTTGGCGCACGGAATTTCGGTGTGCGCGTCTGTAGGTTATCCCTTCTTCTAGCGTAAAGTAATGTTGGGCTTTTTAGCGTAAATAATGACTGTTTGCTGGGTTATTACTTATTAGATGATGGCGTGTGGAATATACGGACCATACGGAAATGTCAAATGTGTAATCAAATCTCTAACATTACTTTGTTGACTTTGGATTTACAAGTCTTCTTATCCTTAACAACACTTCCAAACACGGCAAAATATGTTAATGTTTGTGATTATTGAAATTTACGGCAAATTAGTGGTTGGGCTTATCTGACCCAAATGCTACATATTTAGCTCATGGTTCACAATTAATTTTAGAGAAAAAGGTTAAATAGGTACATGATTTTTTTTACGAAAAGTCAATTAAGTCCATCAATTTTAAAAAAAATGCATTTAAATGCATCAACTTACGATTTTAAGGCATCCAATCCCGTTGGCCGATTTTTTCTCCAGTAAATTCTGGTAAATGTCCTCGTAACTCGCTGTATAAGCTTTGTTTTGGGTATTTAGCTTGCCACATTAGCATAAGAAAAAAGAAATTAAAATAGGATTTAGAACTCACAATTCCAACCCTAATTCCTAATCTTTATCTATGTTTTTCAACCATTGCTTCCTCCTCTTCTTCTTACTCCATAACAAGTTTTTTCTACTCCATCGCCAATCAGTGTTTCATCTCACCCAGTACATTGCTTTGCCTTCTGCTTATTCTCCCTGGTTCGTGTTTTTGTTATTGCCACGGTCACGTTCTTGTTGGAGATGGCATCATCACGTTGGAGTGGTTCACCATTCTCATCTCCCTCGAAGTCAAAGATTAAATTTAGAGTATGAACCAGAACCATCATTGTATTGTCGTTGTGTATTGAAATCATCAATGTGTATCACGAGAGAATGAACAATAATATTTTGGGTGTCAAATATGGAAGGTACATGTATTGTATTTAAGATTTTAAAATGTTATTAATAACTTAATAAGTATTTAAGATGAGTAAAAACCTCTTATAAGTTAGTTATGATCTGAGTTAATGTTTTAATTTTTTTATTTGGTTTTCAGCAACAGTTTGTGTTTAACGTGTTATGACTTTTTTGTTTAATGTTGTAGAATATGAATGTGAACCTTTTTATTTGGAAAAAATTATTATGGAAAGAGGATGATGTTGAATCATATTCGAATAAGAATGTTGGAATATGGTTGAAAAAGATGAGTCAGAAATTATGGAGAAAGTTTGACAATTGTTGTGAAGTAATCTTGAGAAAGGTTTTCAAGCTGAAATAGAAAGAAAGAAAAAAAAAACACAAAAAAAAAACATAATAATTGGTTTTATAATTGTTATAGGAATAGTTGTGTCTATAAGTTTGCAACAAAGGGCAAAACCATATAGATCTATGATGACTTTGCAAGTTTGCAACAAACGGCAAAATCATATGAATCTATTATGAATTTGTTGTAGTTTAATAGTATATTAATAAATTTCAATAAGTGAAGGTGATGCGAACCTGGTTGGCTTGATCTTCTCTTCACACTCGGATTAAAATAATATTTCAGAACAGTTTATTAGGCGAGGTGAAATCTGATTAAAAGGTTCAATTTAGGCTAGGTATAAGGGTTTGTTTTTGTGGTTTTTGATAAGTCCTCAGCCACACCGGGTTATACGGTGATACGTAGGATTTGGGATGACGCCACAAGTGGGGTTTTACACTTATAAGTCTGGTTTGCCATGACCAACTCATGGCCGAACTCATTCCGAGTTTTAGAAAACACTCACTTTTCTAATTCAAAAATTCTCAACTATGTATTTTATTTGGCATGCAATGACCTTAAATAGCCATTAACAAACATATTACAACCACATAAATCATAAATGAGATAATTATTAAAAATATAATAAACTAATCCTAACCAACAAACTAAGATAAACTTAAATAATGATATAATTCTAACAAACTAAATCTAAAATAATTTAAAGATAATCATCATAATTAATTAATTAATATAACTAATTCTAAAATATTTTCAACAATTCACGCGGCCACAACATTTCCTCTCTCTTTAGAGGATTCGTCTTCGAATCCACGTTCCAGGCACCATTGAAGCTTCATGAGTCTTCGTGAAGAGACAACCGTTTGCTCTGATACCAAATGATTCGAACCTGATTGGCCCGATCTTCTCTTCACACTCTCACTAAAATAATATTTCAGAACAGTTTATTAGGCTAGGTGAAATCTGATTAAAAGGTTTAATTTAAGCTAGGTACACTCTGACTAAAATAATATTTCAGAACAGTTTATTAGGCTAGGTGAAATCTGATTAAAAGGTTTAATTTAAGCTAGGTATAAGGGTTTGTTTTTTGTGGTTTTTGATAAGTCCTCGGCCACACCGGGTTATACGGTGATACGTAGGATTTGGGATGACGCCACAAGTGGGGTTTTACACTTGATAAGTCAGGTTTGCTATGACCAACTAACGGCCGAACTCATTCCGAGTTTTAGAAAACACTCAGTTTTCAAATTAAAAAATTTTCAACAATGTATTTTATTTGGCATGCAATGACCTTAAATAGCCATTAACAAACATATTACAACCACATAAATCATAAATGAGATAATTATTAATACTATAATAAACTAATCCTAACCAACAAACTAAGATAAACTGAAATAATGATATAATTCTAACAAACTAAATCTAAAATAATTTAAAGATAATCATCCTAATTAATTAATTAATTAATATAACTAATTCTAAAATATTTTCAACAATTCACGTGGCCACAACAGAAGGTATGACAAAAAATCAGGGTTTATTGTCACAGTTTCTACCTCACCATTAACCATTTACATAGTCCATCACATGTTCTTGGACAAAATTGACACCATGGTGAATTCTTATTTGTACAATGAATGCATTCTACAAAATAAAGACATGTTAAATTGTATTAAAAACATTCTAACTGAATTACAAAAAGTATATTACCAAAAAGTAATTTCCTTTTACTATTTTTAATAAGTTATTCTTGCCAATAAGCGTGTCAATAAACATACTTTTTACCGCTTTCAATAAGTTACCCAAATAAAGCCAATATATATTGTACTGGCAGTATAAAAAGCCAACATACAATGACACAAAGCTAAATCAAAAAATTATTTTACTGGCAGCCAGCCAATACATGAAGAAATAGTTTTACTTACATAACTGTATGGACCATTCAATACCTAATATATAAAATACAACTATACTAATTGAAATGCATTCATTAGAAGTTAGGACCACAGTACCCTGAGTAGTTGTAGTTGCAGTACTTACTAAACACTTTAATTCTTTAAATTGATCGTCTATCAAATTGATGCAGTTTTTCAACTCTAGGTAATTAAAAGCCTGTCAAAAGTGACATGAAATTATAGTTGACTCAAATGTGTATAATTTTTTTTTTTTTTTTTTTATTTTAAATATTGGCTTCTCTGATCACATTAGACTTCTTTGTCTAAGTGGATGAAAAAGCTAACCATGGCTTTTTCGTCCATTATGGACAAGGAAGCCATGGCCAGCTTCTCCGTCTGACACACTATTTTTTTTTTAAAAAAAATTATTTATTTCAATAAAAATGTTACCTCAACATATTTTTATGAGTCACTTTTTGATAATGAGTTAATCGACTCGGTTACACCAATTTTACAAATTAATATGTTTAATGAAAACTTTTAATAGTTGAATAATGATCTAATTACTATTTTACAATGGTCTATTTAACTTATTTTCAGTTAATTATTTTTCTTAATCTTCTCGTGTTATTCCAAATTCTAACAAATAACAATTTGTCATGACATGGAAAAGTCTTTAAAAAAATAATATTCCAATTAAAAGAATGATTTGAGATGTGATCAGTTGTAAAGCATGTGGACAAGACCATTCAAATTGGTGGATTTTGTTTATGTAAAAGACAATTTCATATACTGGTGATGAAATTGAATGATTAAAGACTAAGGGGTCGTTTGGTTCACGGAATATCAGATTACCTTAGGGAATGTTAGATTGCTGGGAATGTTAGATTACTGGGAATGTTGGATTCCTGTGTTTGGTAAAATTGGGGTATGTAATATAATCATGTTTGGTTTTGGGTTATCTTTTATACACACTATAATATCCTTAACATATTTTCATACATTTTAATAAATTTAAAAATTAAAATAAATAAATAAGATAATGGTATCATATATAATTACATGATTTTAAAATATTAACTAAAATCTTCAACTTGAGAAACAAAATTATTTTATATGCTAACATAACATAATAAAAATAAAAAAAATATATAATTACAAAAATAATTTTATATATATATATATATATATATATATAAACTAACATAACCAAGGTTATCTTACATTACCTAAGATTTTGAAGGGAATCACATTCCCTTCAAAATCCTATTTGGAGGGAATGTGACATTTCTTGGGAATGTTAGATTCCCTAAGATAATATGAACCAAATACCGAAATGTGAGTTTTGGAATGTCACATTCCCTTGGTTATGTTATATAACCTGAACCAAACGCCCCCTAAAGTTTAAAAAGAACCGAAAGTATGAGGTGGAATTGTCGGCAGTAGACTTTAAGGTTGTTTGGTTGTGCAGCCAAGGGCATGACAGTAGTCAAATTTCTAGAATAGTATACACTTCTACACTCAATTCCCCAATGCTTTTGAGCGCCCAATTTTGAACAAAATCAATCAAAATATATTATAAGGGATGTTTAGTAAATAGCGGTTAGTTGATTTGAGTAACTAATAGTATTAATTGGTTGTAAAAGGATGTTTGATAAATTAGATATTAGTTGATAGCTGATTGCATACAAAATGACATTTAAAGGTATAATTTATTTTTTCAAAAAGCTGATCGAAAAAGCAACTCTAATTTAAGTAGCTTTTTGAATTTTAGTGTTTTAGAACAATAAGTTGTTATAAAATTTGATTAACCAAACACTCATATTGATTGTTTAACGAAGTCAAATAGCTAATAATAGTTAAACATACCAAAATTAGCTGATAAGCTAACTATATTACCAAAAAGGGCCATGTTTCTATATCACACAATTAGGCTGTAAGGGAATAGTAGAAGGATAATTCAGTCAAGTTGATTAAATTGTTGGTTTGATAATTATAATGTTCTAAGTTTAACTCTTTGTATGAGTGAGTAACCTAAATTTGTCTACTTTATTGTGATCCTTTATAAGTGCGAATCCCGAAGTAGTTGTTTCGATATTTTTTTTTTATCACGCGAATATTTTTTGTTTAAATATGTATAATATTAATCGCTTATAAGCTTCTTCTTAAAAAAAAAAAAAGTACTCTTAACATTTTTAAAATTATGAAAATAACTTTAAAACATTTTTTAAAATTTCCGTAAATTTGTAGGAAGAAATGTTTCTAAAAGGAAAAACAATAACTATAGATTATTTTCATGCAACATAGCCACACAATCACCTCTTTAGCTCTAATATTAAATTAAAAAAAATGTATTTCATATCATTAAAAAAATTAAACTGATAGTTATCCAACAAATTTATTATTTTATATAATATTATACTAACTGAAGTTTTTGTTTTTTTCCTTTTTTTTCCCATTCATAATTGGTTTTCTTTCTTTCTTTTTATCTTTATTTTATTTTCTTTTATTTTCTTTGTTTTTTTTTTTTCTTTTTAATAATTGTTTTAGCTGTGAGCTTTCGGTGGTGTGGTATGGAGCTTTGTATGGACAGTTGGTCTATGCAACAGAATATAAGTAGAGCGAACTTTGTATTCTTAATATATATTTTCTTTGTAAAATGTCTACAGCTAGATTCATTGTATAGAATATGCTGTCTTTTTTTAGGTAATATTTATCGAAATTATTTGTCGTATCTCCGTAATTTTATTTTGAGAAATAATTTTTTTTTCCCATCATTTGGATTACACAATATTTATAAACATTCAATAATAAATTAGAAATTATTAAAATGTAAAATTGAAAACTTAATTACCAACTCAATTATTCTCATTAAGTTGTTTTAGTTTATGACAATTGACATTTGTAAAATTATTCTTAAATGTAACCAGAATTATTGATTTTGGTTCCTCTACTACTATTTATCCAATAGTTATTGCATGGACCATGGTCCATACAACTGTGTGGACCACAGTCCAACAACGATTGCAGTTTAACACATAATGTACATTATTTTTACTCATAATATTTACGGTGTTGTTTTGAATCGTAATCCATATAACTGTGTAGACGATAATTTGCACTATTTATCATCAACCACTTCTTTTTTTGGTTGACGGTTAAAAAGAAATTAAATAGTATTTGGACAATAAATGATGGTAGAGGCCAGGGACCAAAGTCGCACATATTACATTACATTCTAATTTCATAATTGATAATTGTTAAAATTAAAAGTGATAAGGGTGACAGTCCACGGACTAAATTGAAAAATGTAATTGAGCCATTGAATTCAAAAAAAAGTTCTATATCTACATGCTCAAGAACTTGAAAAAAATAATGTAATTAGACCATTTAAAATAGAATTTACATTTAACCTCTACATTTTTTTTTTAAAAAAAGAACTTTCTTTTTCTTCCTAAAAAAATGTTGTTTTCATAGAGAATAATATGGAGAAAGAGGTTGGCAAAAAAAAATATTATGATGATATTGAAATTCAAAAAATAAAGTAATAACAAGGAAATGAGCCTAGCGGACTAAAACATGGGTGTGAACACATAAATTTGAAGAGGAAGACGAGCATAGGTTTTCTTGGGAAGAAAAATAAGTAGGTTACGTTATAGGACTTGTTTTTTTATTTATTTGAAAAGACGTTATAGGACTTGTTAGAATCCACTTGCTCAACCAAGTCTTATTTAGGAGAATAGATTAAATAGCATTTAACAACTTGACATTTAATATGGAAATTAATTATAAAAATTAAAATTAAAATTAAAATTAATTCAGTAGTATCAAAATTAATAGTCTAGAACGGTACTCGTAAAGTTACAATCGAGAAATGATATCTTTATTTTTTTAATCAAATAAATCTACGTTGAGACTCAATTTCTCATTCACCTATTAAAAAAAAAAATTCTATAGTATTTAGTATTTTAACTCTAGTTAGCTTCTTTAATGTTTTATTTTTAATATGCAATAATTAGTCTGTATTGCATGTTTTTTTTTTCCTTAAATTTTCTTGCCAAATTCGAATCTTTTTTATCCTCTTTTAGTTGTGATACTTTTGGATTACTCAAATGATGCAAGGATTTCTGAAATTCTTGAACAAGATTAAGTAGCAATGCGGATTGTTGAAGAGTTAAAGTATTATTCTCACAGAAAAGGTGAACAACACATAAGAGTTCAAGGAGCCTAAAACACGGTATCTTTGTATATACGAATATAATATTTGGAGTTTTGGACAAGAGGATGGTTTTTTAGTCTAATTTTATATTCATAAAGGAATTTTAATCCAAGACATTGACATATGTGCAGCCTAATTGAAGAGCATCCCAAGAGTGTGGGGTTTTTATTTTTATTTTTTTATGATACTGTTTTAGACCATAGGAACAACTCAAATGGTCTTAAAATATTGATTGCCAACGACTTAAGAACAAATGTTACATCAATAACCAACGTGGTATACCACGATAGTTTCAATAATTTATAATTTTGTGACACTTATTTTTGTATATTGTATGTTAAACTAATTTCATTATTGTTACTATTTTGTAATTTCAAAATTTTAAATTAATAATGTATTCAATTATTCACACAATTAAAAAATATCTTAAACAATATCTATCCCGTGCATTGCACGGAGACTATACTAGTTTTATATTCATAAAGGAATTTTAATCCACGACATTGACATATATGCAGCCTAATTGAAGAGCATCCCAAGAGTGTGGGTTATTTTTTTTATTATTTTTTTATTTTTTATTATTTTTTTTATAAATGGTTTTTTGTAAGGCCAAAAGACAATTTTTAATAGTTTTGTCAGGGGTTTCTGGTTGTTGTTGTTGTTTTTTTTTTTTTTTTTTTTTTTTTTTTTTAATGGAAAATATTGCTTGTACTTCAATTTTTTACTTTTAATTTTTACTCTATCTCACAAGTCTTTGATCTAGACATTTTTTTTGAGACCCACATGATAAAAATATCATATTTTTATTTGTCACGTCATGGAGTAAAAGTGATGGACAAGGGAGTAAAATTTGGAGTACATGTAGTAGAATTTTTTTTTTATTATTTTTTTAATGATGTGTAGGAAAAAGAATCCAATTTTATTGGATGTCCCCGGAGGTACATGTGGAGGAGAAATGTGATTTGGAGGAGAAATGTGATTTGGAAGAGAAAGGAGAGAGGAGATAGAGGAAAAATAATTTGTAAAATGATAATTTTTTGTGGGTCAAGCGGAGGAAGAAAAAAAGAAAACAATTTGCGCTTTCAGTGCACGAATTGGGAGTACATGTAGTAGAATTATTATTATTATTATTTTTTTATGATGTGGAGGAAAAAAATTCCAATTTTATTGGATGTCCCCGAAGGTACATGTGGAGGAGAAAGGTGATTTGGAAGAGAGATGAGAGGAGAGAGAGAGAAAAAATAATTTGCAGGAATGAGGATTATTTGTGGGTCTCGCGGAGGAAGAAAAAAGAAAACAATTCGCGCTCCCAGTGCGTAATCCGCACCATCAGTGCCCAGCAAGGTGCCTAAGGAAGCTTCCCGTGCGGTTGACTAAAAAATACGCACCTTAAGAACACAAACCACGCATCTAAAGTTTTAAAATAGCGCACCTTAAGTTTCAACAACTGACGCACGTTAAGAAGGAAAACTACGCACCTTAAGAACACAAACTACACGCACCTAAAGCTTTAGACTGAAGCACCTTAAGTACACAAACCACACACCTTAAGCACACAAACAAAACACTTTAAGAACACAAATCACACACCTAAGGTTTTAAAATGACGCACCTTAAGTTGCAACAACTGACGCACCTTAAGTATACAAAGCACGCACCTTAGGAAGGAAAACAACGCACCTTAAGAAGGAAAAACTATGCACCTAAAGCTTTAGGTTAACACACTTTAAATTTCAACACTGGGGCACCTTAAGCACACAAACTACGCACCTAAGCAACCACATAACTGCACCTGAGAAGGCCAACTGCACGGGAACCCATATGTCCATCATCAGGAGAGAACCATACCCCAGGTGAGAACCTGTGAACAAATCCAAACCATTGATCTAGTAGATCTAACATTTAAAAATAAACAAAACTTTGTAATATTTATGAAAATGACCCCACACATTTTAAAAATTTGTACACGGAGTAATATTTATGAAATTAACCCCGCTAATTTTTTACTTGATTTTCCATCCATCAGATCTTGCAGATCAATGGTTTGGATTTGTCCACTCATATATATATCCTTCAAAGGGGATCGCCAGTCGCCGGTTTTGTGGCCAGAGCATTGTCGTAATTTTTCAAAAAACGGGTTAACCTGCTATTACAGATTAATATTTGGTTTTTGGGCTTGAATATAATGTAAGAAAATAACATGTTGATGAGTATAATTGTAATTTTAAAAAGTTTAGGGGTTCAAATGTTCAATTGACTTTTTATAGTATAAAGTTTAGGGGTTTTTTGTTTGTTTTATTTTTATAGTTCAATGACTTATTTGACCATTGTTCTTCCGAAAGGTTGAACCCCAACCTGACAGAGCTTTTAGGAGGATGTAAATCAAGTGAACATGAATCACACTTTGAGAGGTTGTTCACACTGTAGCTGGTGAGACTCGATCCCTGGTCATTTTTTAAAACTTTCATCTCTATAATTAGTTGAGCTGTCAATGCGGGTCTTATTTAACCATTATTGTAATTTAAAATGGTTGTTATTGAGACTAAAACAACCAAATGAGAAATGATTGTATGGTTAAAATTATAATTTTCATTTATTAAAAATATAAAAAAGACAAAGATGCCAGACGTCTGTGTTCATGCACACAACTTTATGATGCAATAACTTCCTAAAATTAAATACTAAGGCCAATAAAGTAAGCTGCTTTTTTTGAATTAGATTCTTGTCACTTTCTTGTGTCTCTAATTTTACTTGTCAAAAAGCATAAAGTAGTTAGTAGTAGTGCAGCAGTTTATTAAGGGAATACCTAGTCGCCTTGCTTTATTAGCCTTTTTATTATTAATTGAAACTATTCTTTCAATCTTTCCTAGCAAATAGTTTATCATTTGTACTCCATAATTATACATAACAATTATGAAAAAAATACATAACAATTAATAATATTAAAGGTGCCATATAATTACCACAAATTATATTGAGGACTATGGTCTACCTTGCATGAGGACCATGATCCAAAATGGTTCAATTTTATATTTAGTCGTTAACAACGTCAATTTGTGCATTATGTTTAATAACATGCATCTTATACTATGTTCATAATATTTGTTCTATATGTTTATAAACTTAAACCTTAACGTATACAAACACTAAACTACTAAAAATGTGACCTCTCTTTCCTCCTGTAAAGCTCTCTCCCTCCCATGAGTATCGAGCGTTCCTCACGTTTTCCTTTTTCTTTGTCATCTGTGTTCTTCGTTTTTTCTAGTGTGTTGTCCTCTTTTAATTAGAACCCGTTTTGTGCTTCGCTTGTTGGGGTGTTTGGTACACAGGAATTGCAATTTTATTCCTTTGCAATTCCACAACAACCGAAATTCCATTGTTTGGTAGGAAGGATCCCTCTGCATAGATAAGGAGAAAAGTGTGTATTGACAAATTTGCCCTTTAGTTTTTATATAACTTCTCCACTTTCAATTTCCAGTAATTCTATTTCTCCATACAAAAAAATATGTAATTTGAATTCCTACTTTATTTCAACTTTATTCTTTATTTGCAGAATTAAAATACCTTCTCCCATATTTTCTTCCTCCCAACCAAATGCCCTGTAAATATTTTGACCATGATTCTTCACGTCAACCATTGCCGTGAAAGGGTTAACGGGCCGGTATGCAAATATTACTTTGCAAGAAGAAGATAGTGGAATTGAGGTCCTAGATGATGGGGGTGAGGATACACATATACGGTTATTGTTATTGTTATTGTTATTGTTATTGTTATTGTTATTATTATTATTATTATTATTATTATTATTATTATTATTATTATTATTATTATTATTATTACTAATGTTCTTATTGGTCATTTTACATGTAATCAACTAAGAATAAACATATAATTTACCAAACATATTTCTACAATCATTTAATACTATCAGCTTGTTAAATCAACTAATCCAGTAGTTATTAGCTAATTCAATCAGCTATTAACTAACACTTAATTACGAAATACACCCATCGAACCTTCATGAGAAAAAATCTTAGCAGTAAACCTTCACCAGAAGAAGATATTACTAGAATATCATCTGATACTCCATTCCTAAGTTTACCAACTTTACATTAAATATAACACTCAATCAATTTCGGAAGACTTTATCAACATAAAAGATTAACTCTTCTAAACAAATAGCAAGATAACTAACATTACTGGTCAATAGGTAATAAAAAATCCTTCTAACAAGGCCATATATAATAGAAGGAAATAATAGAAAAGTTATGGTAGCCATGTCTAAAACAACTTTTAATAATCCTCCTCCATTTATACAGCAAACGTATTAACATTGTCATAAGATAAATTTTCAAAACTCATGCATAAGTGAAAGTGTCTTGCAATTGAATTTTCACTTAGTATTATACGTTTCAAATTTGAGCCATTCAATCACTTTGAAATAATGAAGGTACACTGAATATAAATTTTAAAATTTTCCGAACAACCCTTAGGTTGATTGACACTATTACAACCATTTGTCTGTATCGATGTTTCATACACACGTCACAAGCTAAGCCCAAACTTGATTGAAGTGACGTGGCGCCAATTCTTGTTTCTATAGGTATTTGAGTATTTCTTTTAAGTCATACTTTTGCATTTATCACTTTATCTAAAAATCTATTAAGAAATCAATCCACTTTACTTTCATGCAGGACCAGACACATACCCTAGAATGAAAATTATTGAGTGTTTGTTTGCCATCAACAAACGAAATATTCATCTACATTGAACTCTAGATCTAATGTAATATTAAACTAGAATTGAGCTTTCTTTCATTTGTGATTAATTAATGGGCTTAAGCAGTTAAGCCCATTCCTATTGATGCCTTGTAAGTCCAATCGTTATACCCTACACCACGGCTGTGCGCCGCGCGCCTCTCAAAACGACGTCGTTTTGGATCGTTTTGGGAGGCGCGGTAGGAAGTTGCTGTGATTATGTGTATTTGTTCACACAATTATGTGTATTCGTTCACACAATTATGTGTATTTGTTCATACAGTTATGTACATTTTTTATACAATTATGTATATTCTTTTTATACAATTATGTACATCCGAATCAGAAAATTTGTGTGTATTATGTTAAGAGTTGATGTGTATTATGTTAAGAGTTGATGTGTATTATGTTAAAAGTTTATGTTTATTATGTATTATGTTAGATTATGTGTATTATCTTTTAAAAAGAGTATGTATATTTTGTTAAATTATATAATTATGTACATTCATGTATACAATTATGTGTATTCTAGTATAACATTATGTACATTTTTGAACAACGGGTTTTTTTAAAAGAAAAAATTACTGTCATTCACTGGGGCGGGAAATTTCAAAAAGAAAAAAAAAATTAAAACGACGTCGTTTTGCATCTGGACGCACAGTGCAACGCGCGCCGTGGTGTAGGATATAAATTGCCTTGTAAGTCACATCCATTGAAAAAAATTTGTGAAAAAATCTGTCAAATTAAATAGTTACCTTACAAAATTTAGGACTACAACACCATCTTTAATGAGTTCCCACACATAACTAGAAGTTATTATAAACTTATTTCAAATAATACACAACTTGGTATAAAAACTTATACCAAAAAAAAAAGAAAAAAAGAAAAAGGAAAAGCCTACCATATCAATTGACATTGTACGTATATTTTGCAACCATGCATACCAACATGATTATATTATGTACGATTAAACATCAATATCAATAATATTCGGTATAATCATATATGAAAATCATGATAGTACCAAATACGATTAACTCTTCATTATAATTAAGTTATAATGATGAGAACAATAGTTCTATAAATGATTTTATTATTGATCAGTTCATAATGAAGAAATGTATTTATAAGGATACAAATAGTTCCGGTCGGGACATGAATGGTAAATGGTAATATTCCTAATAATATAAGAAGATGGAGAATGAATTTTAGTGTGCCTAGAATATAGCGTCCTAATATGCCTTCCCGAGCTTGCCCCTTAGATCATTTACCCTTATTGTGGTTAGTAACTTGGTGAAGATGCTTGTCAATTGGTCTTTTTGTAAAGATGTAGTTTCCTTATAGTTCCTTTAAGGATGAAATTATCCCTTCCAATGTTTCAATTTGCAAAATGATGTGGCATTTGCCACATCATTTTTACTCTTTTTTTTTTTTTTTTTTTTTTTTTTTTTTTTTGTTACAAATTTGATTTTTTTTGCAAATTTGCAAATGCTGTGCAAAAGCTGCCAGAGCTGCTGCGACAACTTTTGTACTTTATTTATTTTTTTTACTTTATAATATTTTAATAGAGTTAATTATCGAAATGGTCCCTTGACTATAATGAAATTATCAATTTGGTCCTTAACTATTTTTTTGACCAATTAAGTCCCTCAACTTTAAAAATCATAACCAATTTGGTCCTCTGTTTGTTTGACCATTAGTCAACCGTTAACTTGGGACCAAATTGATAATTTTGCTATTGTCAAGGGACCATTTTGGTAATTAACTTTAGGGGTGGGGATGAAGCAACACTGTTTTGGGAGAATAGTTTCTGTGTATTATTAATGATAGCAAGCACCCAATATATATACAGAGAGAACCCAAAGATTAGGAAACTAACCTAAATAACAGGAAACAAAATACTGGATTAACTCTAACAACTTGGACTATTCTAACTGCTTGACACACCCCCGCAAGCTGACGGTGGACACGGGACAACGCCAAGCTTGAGTCTGAGATCTCCAAAACGAGCAGTTGACAACGCCTTGGTGAAGATGTCCGCTAACTGGTCATGAGTAGAAACAA